TTCAGGGGACAAGTCGCAATGACTCTGCCTATGATTCATTTGTCCTTATCTAAGTTGGTATTATCTGCCAAGGCTACCTATTTACAAGGTCTATGACTACTCAGGCTGGTAAATTTCTACAAAAGCTGCCTGTCTACAATAGCTTATAGCCATCTGTTTCAATGGTTTTCCACAGAGACCCAAGACTTGGTGTTAGTATAGATGTATGACAGGCCTATTGCTGCTTTTAGGCCTATGGCTGATTTTAGGCCTTCAGTGTGTAAGCAGGGCTGCCCCTGACATCTCCTCCCTTCTCTAAGTATTGAAGGGCTGTGGCAATTCTAAACTTGCGAAGGCAGGAATAGAGGCCTGACCTCCAATAATTGAAGGGGACCTTGTAATGGCTCCAGCCCCCCTGTCATTGTCCAGTGAGGCATGAGGGCCATACCCATCCAGATGTCTTTTTCCTGGAGAGGGGATACTTTTGACATCAACCCCTATGCAGTCAGGGAACTGCATATGTTACTCAGGGAACCCAGAAAGAGATTTTTTTTTTTTTTTGGTTTTTTGAGACAGGTTTTCTCTGTATAGCCCTGGCTGTCCTGGAACTCACTCTGTAGACCAGGCTGGCCTCAAACTCAGAAATCTGCCTGCCTTTGCCTCCCAAGTGCTGGGATTAAAGGCATGTGCCACCACCGCCCAGCCCAGAGAGAGATTTTAAACTTTTATTTATATTCCCTTGCAGTGCTTAGCCTCGCAGCCTAAGCAAGAATTCAGATTGCCTGTCAGAGGGGGTTCTGGGTGGCTCCTCTCTACTTGGTCTAGGGGTGGAAGTCCCCTCTTTTAGGTTGGGTGGAGATGGGTTTTGGGAACACCCTGGATAGAGTAACAACCTCATCTTGAGTCTCGTGATCCTCCATAGCAAACTTATGATAATGTATCAGAATAGGTTTTGCTACCAAATTATTTATCTGTTGTTAGGCAAAGTTAGTCATCTTATTTAAGGCCCAGGGACCAGGAGATAAGCAAAAATAACCCAATTAATGGTCCCAAGATGGGGGGAAGTAGGGTTGACAACCATGGAGAGGCTGAAAACCATTTTCTTGTACCAGCACTCATCTTTCTCTTTCTCTCTGTCTTTTCTCAGGGCCTTCTCTGACCTTTTTCATGCTCTCTTCAACCATCCCTGTCTTGTCTATGTAAAGGCAACGTTCTTCTTTAAGGGTTGTACACAGTCAAGAGCTGTACACAGCCTTTTCTATTGTAAAAGAGTAAATCAAGTCAAATAAAGTCCTTTGCGATTTTTGGAGGTCTCTTCAGACAGCGAAACAGGGATTTTTCAGATTAGTGATGTCAATCTCTAGCTGTTTGATGTTCTTGTCAATGGCCCATCGAAGGTCTGAGTAGTATAAATTCGGAGGCCAACATCTGGATTAGAAGAGGTTGGCTACTCCCGTGATAGTGATATTTGTATTTCTGTAAGCACTCATACCTACTTACTTACTGGGCCATGGTTTCCTAATATGGCCAGTGGATGGATTAAGCCAGGTTTGGATTGGACAAGCCACAGTAAGACTGAGACTGTGAGAGTTTTATTGACAGCAATCAGACCTTTTATATCCTTATCAGAAACAGAATATAGTGGTGATTGCCAGAATCAATACAGTTGTAGTTGCCAGGCTACAAGGACATTTGAAACCTATTTTGAAAGCTATATTATAGATTAATGTCTAAGACCAATTGTTCTGCCAAGCTTCCGTGCTTCTTTGACTTCTAAGGGAACACACAGGAAAAAAACAGAGCAACCTGAACCCTTAACTGCCTGAGGGAGTGCCTTGGTTTCTCAGAAACTGAAAGACACATAGTGCCCAGGAGCCCAGACTCTAGCCTGAAAAAACATATGACACATACCTTTGACAGCAGCTAGGCCAGGTCAACTTCATGGTTCCCTACACGCCTCTATTGCACCAGGGCCACTTGCTGTCAGGACAGTTGTTATTATAGCTTGTTTGGAGGACACTGTGAATGGTGCATTTTTTCTGATTTCCTCCTTAATAAGTTTGTTTTTGGTGTGTATAAGTGTTACTAATTTTATATTCTGATACTTTATTGAAGATATTTATTGGATCCAGTGTGTTTTAAAAATTAGGGCTGTCTATAGAATCATGTACTTTAGAAGCAGGGATAGTTTACTTTCTTCCTTTCTGAGTTCTAACACTTTGTAGCTTTTTCTCATCGCATTGTTCCAGCTAGAGCTTGAAAACTGTATTTAATAAGAGTAGAATGTGCACACTTGTCTAGTCCCAGATTGAGAGAAAATGGACTCAAATTTCTCATTAGCATAGTTCTTGATATAGATTTATATAGTTTTTATTGTGTTGTGATATGACAGAATATCATTTCTATAAGTTTCTAGATTTTTACTTACTTTGAACAAAATCTTCAGCAAAAAACTAAATATTTAAGGAACTTAAAGAAAGAATTGTTTGATCTAGGTTAGTTGGCACATGCTTTTATCCCAGCACCCATGAGGCAGAGAGGTAGGTGGATCTCTGTAAGTTCAAGGCAAACCTGGTTTATATAGTGAGTTATAGGACAATCAAGACTACATGGTGAGATCCTGTCTCAAAAACATTAATATAAATAAATAAATTTCCATTTATTTATTCACTTTACACCCCCATTGCAGCCTGCCTACCCTCACAACCTGCCTCTCCATCCCACTTCCCCTTCTTCTCTGAGAATGGAAGGTCTTTTCTGAGTACCAACCCACCCTGGGACACCAAGTCACTGCAAGACTAGGCACACCTCCTACCATAGAGGACAGACAACCCAGTCAGCCCAGTTATAGGAACAGGTTCTATAGGCAGAGAGCAGAGCTAGGGAACACTCACCCCCACCACCACCCCTACTTCAGTGATTGGGGGACTCACAAGAAGCTCAAGCTGGGCATTTGCTACATTATGTGCAGGAGCCCTAGGCCCAGCCCATGGATGCTCTTTAGTTGGTGATTCAGTCTTTGGGAGTCCCCAAGGGTCCAAGTTAGTTGACTCTGTTGGTCTTCCTGTGGCGTTCCTATCCCCTCCAGGACCCTCAATCCTTCACCCAACTCTTCCACAGACTCCTTGAGGACTGTTAAATTCTTGGCTGTGGGTTTCTGCATCTGTTTCCATCATCTGCTGGGTGGAGCCTCTCTGACAACAGTTATGCTAGACTCCTATCTGCAAGCATAACAGAATGTTATTAATGGTTCCAGGGATTGGTTCTTCTTGGGATGGGTCTCAAGTTGGCCTGGTCATTGGTTGTCCATTTCCTCAGTCTCTGTTACATCTTTGTCTCTGAACTTCTTGTAGAGAGGATAAATTTTGGGTCAAAGGTTTTGTGAGTGGGTTGTGTCCTTATTCCTCCACTGAGAGTCCTGCCTGGGCTACAGGAAGCAGTCACTTCAGGGTCCCCATCCACCACTGCTGGGATCCCGGGCTAAAGCCACTCTCAAAAACTCCCTGGAGCCTCCCCCATCCCATGTCTCTGGCACATCCTAGGGATGCCTCCCACTGTCAGCTGCCAATTTCAATTCACTCTCCCACCCCTCTCTCCCCAGCTTTCCTCACATGTCATCCCTCATGTCCCCTTCCCACCCCCCCTCCCATCCAGTTTCCTCCATCCACCTCTGATGACTATTTTTTCCCCTTCTGAGTGAGATTTAAACATCCTTTCTTTCGTCCTCCTTGTTATTTAGCTTCTGTAGGTCTATAGAGTGTAGCCTGCATATGCTGTACTTTATGGCTAATATCCACTTATAAGTGAGTACATACTATGCATGTCCTTTTGGGTCTGGGTTACCTCACTCAGGATAATATTTTCTAGTTCTACCCATTTGCCTGTGTATTTCACGATGTTCTTGTTTTAAATACCTGAGTAGTATTCCATTGTATAAATGAACCACATTTTTTTTCATTCATTTTTTAGTTGAGGTTGTTTCCAGTTCCTGGCTATTACAAATAAAGCTGCTATGAACACAATAGAGCAAGTGTCTTTGTGGGATGGTAGAGCATCTTTTGGGTATATGTCCAGGAGTGTTATAGCTGGGTCTTAAGGTTTATAAAAATGTTTATGAAATATATAATAATCCACAAGATAAGTTGAAAATATTATTTTTTTTAAAAAGGAGTTTAAAATGTGATAGCATCCAGGTATGAACAATGAGGCTGTATTCTCAGCACTTGAAAAGCAGAGGCAGAATTATCATCACAAGTTACAGATCAGTAAGAGATAAAGATTGAAATCCTGTCTAAAACAATGTGTGAACTCTGTCTCAAAGGGATGTAAAGTGAATAAATAAATAAATAAATAAATAAATGGAGAAAAATAAATAAAAATGGAATTTTAAATGATAAAAAATTGTGTGGTAACAGTAGACTTGGTAGCCTACTCTTAGTGTTAGTAATATATAAATACATGGCATTTGAAAGATCTCAGGGTGGTCAATAGGACCACCTTTTGTGAGGATAAAATTTCATTTCTAGAATTTATAAACTAGTTTATAGTTTTATGTACTAGTCTGCAAATATATAAACAGTAACATTTTTTTTAAATCAAGATTTCTTTACATATTCCTGGCCATCCTAGAACTCACTATGTAGACCAGGCTGGCCTTGAACTCATAGAGATCTTCTTGCCTCTGCTTCCCCTGTGGAATTAAAGGCATGTGACACAATGACCAGCTAACAATAACTTTTTCAAAATAATTTAATTTTAAATTATCTGGTTCAATTGAGGAAACATTTAGAAAAGAACTTTCAAGTTGCCACTTTCCTGGGACAACCATAACAGTAAGTAAAATAGGAGAGAAGAGATACTTTGTTATTGCCAGAATGCTTACATTGTGACCTTTTGAGTATAAATCCTTTGGAAAAGTTCAAAGTGAGAAATGAAGAACAACATTTTACTGGGTAGTAATTAACATGAATAATCAGATAATTTCAATAAAAGCATCATTAACTGCAGATTTGTCTCACAAGAGGAGAAGACTATGGTAAATGAGCAGTTGCCTCATGGGAACATGGAAAGCATGAGACCTAAGAGACAGCGATGCCTTCCAAAGCTTAATGTGACACATGCTGGAATCTGGCCATGGATAGAAACGGAGGCAAAAACTTGGAATGAGGTAAATCAACCTTTGATAAAATCTCATATTTCTGACTTGATTTGATCAATATAACATATAGTACTCCCTTGATTTGACACATAGTTCTGTTTTGCATAGAGACAGGGATTAAACCTGAGAATGTAGTGTTGGGCAATTTTACTTATGGAACATCACAGTCCTGTGCTCACACAAACCCCACAACACTGTGTTTAGCAGGTTTATGGTTCACGGTGGCCCAGAACATTGTGTGATGTGTGACTTTTATTTAGACTTAAAATATCTCATGCTAAAAGTAAACAATGATATTTATGAATAAGTTTTTGACTTTCGTTTGTTGTAAATCTTGGTGTACAGTGGCTGCTCAGCACATACTTTTCTGACAATGGCATGGAAGGTGAACCAAAGGCAACCTCTAGGATAAAGGTTAGTTTCGGCACTGTTATGCTATAGTGTAGGCTTATTTAGCTCTGAAATCACAGTGATGTTAGTTAAATGTTTTATAGTGAGATGTTAATTCCCAATACTATCTCCTCTGCCTGCATTAAAGAACTTCTTTTGATGTTGATAAACCACACTGTCATTCAAGCAATCAGAGTCTGAAAGATATATTAGAGACAGCACTCTAACAGGCTGCATACTTTCAACAAGGTTTTGTTCTTGTAGGTTGTGCTCTTGGTTTCATATTTCCACCCCACACACCCCTCATTAGTCCCTCAACTTGCTTTGTTCTTTGAAAGTCACCTATCTCCACCCTGTGAGTTTAATTTTCATGCAAATAGTTATACAATCTCTAGTCCTTTAACCAGCTATACTTAGTTAGCACAATACTTTGGGCATTCTTCATTTCTTTATGTTTCTGTGCAGTGTCTCTCATGTGGTCAGGCATGGTGGCCCATAACTGTAATCCCAGCAGAGTCAGAAGTAGAAAATTAGGCTTAAGTTCAAAGCCAGCCTGGTATACATTGTAAATTCCTGGTTAAGTAATGACATCCTGTCTCAACACACAGACACACATGAGAGACACACAGACACACACAGACACACACAGACACACACAGGCACACACAGACATGCAGGCAGACACAGACACACACAGAGACACAACAGACACACAGGCAGACATAGGCACACACAGAGACACACACACAGAGACACACAGACACAGACAGACACATTCTCACACAAATACATACACACATAAACACACAGACATGTAGACACATAGAGTACAGTGAGGCTGCACCACATACCTGTTCCTTGGCTGATCACTGTGCTGGGAGTGCTGCTCCACTTGCTCTGTGTACCCCTTCTTGTTTCCTTCTGAGCAGGTTTTGCTCTCCTAGCCAGCTGAGCTCATGGTGGTCTCTCTCTGCTTTCCTTGTACTGTTCTTTCTGGCTTGTCCATATTTTCCCATCTGGCTTCATTTATTCCAGAGCATCTCACCATTTTCTCTTCCATGAAGCCTTCTCTAATTGGACTGAGTTTCCAAAGTCCATCTAGAACTTTTCTGTTCAGAACAGCTTATGCTTTACCTTTGCATAAATATCATCTAAGTGTAAATTTGGAGAAATATCAAATGATGATATATGCCACTTTTTCTTAAATAAATTTAAAACATATTTGCTTAAGTTATAGGGTAAAATCTATATCATACCAATACTTTTTCCTGAGGACAAAGATGTTCTGAAGTTTTTAGTTTCATATTCTGAGAATTATTTTATATTCTGAGAAATTTAATATAAAATCAAATGTGCTTAATAAATAGGAGACACTGTTTAATCGAGTGCTCCTATTTGCCTTAAAATGGAAAAATATATACCTGCCTTCCTTCCTTATGTATCCCAAACTGGAGAGTATAGATATAACTGGTAGGAAGGACCCTGTAGTAGTTTTTCTATACACTCGTCCATATCACCTTAGCCTGCTCCTGGGGTGTGGCAAAGCAGCTTCATGTGACCGTTGCTGCGACAGACTAATTGAGAAACCTGGTTCCACAGGAGTCCATCCATGGCTTTAGCCTGACTCTGAGGCCATGTCGCTTCCACGTGTCTTCTTCTAGTAGGTGCCACTTGTACTTGACTGTACAATCACAGCCTGCAAGTACACTGAAGAGCTCAGAAGAGCTGGACCACTCTAAGCAGGCAGGAGTACTACTGTCTAGTTGTTGTGTGGCTTTTTCGGTGGAGGTGTAGCTAGGTGTCTATTCACACCAGATACAACAATGATGACATACAAAAGAAGAATGTTGTCCAAGATGGGCAGTAATAATCAACACTGAGGTTTAGATGGGCAGTAATCAACACTGAGGTTTGGGGATCACTAGAGGAGCAAAGGGGACTGAGGCATTGAAGATCCTATCCCAGAACAGTAACAGCTCAGATGTTCCCTGCACAGCACAGGGGACTGAGGCATCACTGAAGATCCCACCCCATCATAGTGACAGCTCAAATGTGCTCTGCACAGTATATAGGAAGCTCTATGGAAGAATCTCTTCTTCCCCAGGTACTGTTTGATCTCCTGGAGGGACCCCATGGGTCCTATTAGTTTTAATGAGTATTCAGAGCATAGTAACTTCCATGAGCTTCTGGAGTCTCGTGATCCTCACTCTCTTCCAGGAAGGAATGTTTTTCATCCAGAGAAAACAACTACACAGCATGGTATGGTTGGTCAATTTTCAAGAAGCGTTAAGGATGCCCTGGGGCCTTGTTCCTTATATGATTGCATTTTGACTAATGTGAGAAAGGATTCATCAGAAAGAGATATCCCTCCCCCACATATTAGAATATCTTGACACTATTGCTAGCAGCAGATGTTATATACAACTTATAATATGCCCCAACACTATCCCCGATGATCCATTGTGGCGTTGTCTATCAATATCTCCATGTCACAGGTGAAGAAACCAAGACAGAGGATTAACTTGCTCGGGATCCCACATCTCATCAGGGTCAAGTTGAGATGGAGACCCAGGCATTCTGGCATCTGGGTAGACACTGTCGCTGAAAATGATCCCATGAGGCATTTGAATGATAATGGCCGCCGTAGGTTCATACATTTGAATGCTCAATTATTAAAGAGCATACTATTTGAGAAGCATTAGGGTGTGGGGTCTTGTTGAAGAGAGTTTGCCACTGGGAGTGGGCTTTGCAGTTCCAAAAGCTCATCCTAGGCCCAGTCTCTCATGTCTGCCACCATGTTACCTGCTGTACTGATAACAGACCCAGCCTCTGAGTTCCCCAACTAAATGCTTTCTTTTATAAAAGCTGCCTTGCCTCTTCACAGGAATAGAACAGTGACTAAGATGACTCTAAGGCGTCATGGTGATTTTATCATCACTATCATGGCTTCTCAAATCATAGTGTCAGGGAGGTGGTGTTTGGAAGTCAAAAATACAAACATGCAGAGGAGGGGTACATTGGTGCTTCTAAAATGTTAAGAAGAGAACACAAGCAGGAGTCAGACAAGCTCCAGTTGGAGTCTAATTGTTCTAACTAACTTTCCCCTGTGCTTTGTTCTAGTTGAAAGAATCACTAACAATACTAAAAGCTGCCAAGAAGATGCGCTGTAGGATTCAGAGGTATAACTATATGCAACTTGCAAAGACAGCTGGCGTGTTTATGAAGCAGCTAGGCAGAATAGCGAGTGCTGCATCCGTGTGAGCAGGGATGCACGTGTGTAAGACCAGGGTGACATTCGTTTCCAGTCACTTTACATGACTACACGGTTGCAGGGGCAGGGAACTCACTCAGTGGTAGAATGTATGTTTGCCTACGTAAGGCCCTCGTTTCATCCCCATGCACCGCAGAAATAAAAGAAGAAAGTCGTTATTCACACAGTCCCTAAACGTTACAACTAACCACATAACACAACTAGAAAAATGATAGATCTATCAAGTAGCTTGTTTTTTAAAGAATTTGCTAAATTACTTTTAAGATGTTTATTTAAAAATTGTGGTATTTAAAGAATTCACTTATGAGAATAATTTCTTTAAAATATTTAGGGTTGAACTTGAAAATGCTAACTTAGTCATCACAATTGAAAAACAAGCAAGAGAAATGAAAGTGCTTCGTGAAAAACTGTTAGATGCAGGAATCAACGTGGTAAGTTTAATAGGTTTCTCACGAATGCCATCAATATGGAAGAGATGTTGTTCTTTCTCTAGTAGTATTCCATAGGAGAATATTATCCACAATGAAAAGGCTCATTGATAAAAATATTTGTTTTAATCATGTCGCTACTATTTATTAGTAGAGGTGAAGCTGGCTTTACAGAAATTGACCAAATTAATAAAAAAATGACTTTGGTAGAATTTTTAATGAGAAACATTGGTGATCCTATTTTACATAGCTGTCCATTGACGGAAACATGCGATGCTTACCACAGTTTGGTTGTTGTCAACAGTACTGCTTTGGATGTTGTGAATATGTCTGGGTCTCTGATGAAAGTTTTAAATAACTTTTACATTCAGTGGTGGTTAGATGAAGCATTCTGACTTTACCTTATTGCCAGTCTCTGACAGTTAACTTCTGTAGCGTGGGCGAGGGCAGGGCAGGAACTGAAGGCAGGAGACGGAAGCAGGAGCTCGTCACGAGCTCCCTATGGGTTGCTCAACTATGTTTTTTATGCCATCAGTTCCTCAGTGACTGACTAGGACTGGGGAGAGCAAAGGTGAAATAATGTTCTTCCCCCCAAGCTGGCAGCAACAGAAAGCAAAGCAAGCATAGACGCTAACTGTAACAGACTGGCAAGAAGATAAGGTCAGGATTTTTCATAAAAAGCCCACGTGCCTGAGAACGCTGTACCCTCAGTTGGATGGGCCCACCTATGTCAGCCAGAAATCAAGAAAATGTTCCACATACATGCTCCCAAGCAATCTGACTGTGAAATTCCTCGTTTGAGATTTCCTCTTCCCAGGTGTGTCAAGGTGGCGACTAAAGCTAACTGTGACAGCTTTGGGGGAAAATAACTTACAATTTCTACTCCTCATCAAGAATAAATACTAAGTGTTAAAGAAGTGTGTGTGTGTGTGTGTGTGTGTGTGTGTGCCAGAGAATTGCCCTGAGCCACCCCCTCTTTCAGGTTTTAAAAAGAAAAGTTGTATCTGGAAAAAAAAAAAAAAGACATGGCCTCTTGGTTGTCTTGGACCTTGCAGAGTAGCCAAGGACTGCTACCATTGACTGTCATCAGTGTCTGAGCTTCCCCATCATGTGACAGTCCATGCCCCTGAAAGGTGGATGTCCGCTAGGATGGCCATGCCATTGCTGTAGAATGAGAGCCGTGTGTCTGTATACCAACCAAGCAGCATCCCGCCATCCATGCTCTCCTTCCTGGAAGCTGACCCCTGTTGCATTGTTAGCCCCACGTTGGAGCAATGAAGTAGTTGCTCTTTTTATTCAGTGAGCCCAGGCTCTTTTCGTGTAAGCCTCTTCCTTCAGCTCAGCTTGCACGTTGATTTGCTCTCAGACTAGTGCTACAAAATACCCTCCTCATCAGGCTTCCCCAGCCTCTGAGCGCTGCCAGCCTCCTGAAGCATCAGCAGGTGTCGCTAAAACCCCGCGAAGCCCCTACGGCTTCCATCTGTTTTATTCCCAAGGTATACAACTATTTAGCTTATTTTTTAATTTTTAAAAATGATTTTTATAATTTCTCACCTGAGTACACTGCATGCTCGCCACTCTCACCCACCTCACTCTCACCCTCTCCTCTCTCCCACCCCTCTTCACTCCTCTCCCTCCTCACAAATCTCCTTCTCACACTTGTCTATTCATTTGTTTTGTGAGCCAGTGGAATAAAGCAGGGTCATTTGTATGGGTTCAACACTAAAGACAGTGATATTCCCTCTCCAGAAACTTCTTACTTAGCTCCTTTTAAGTTACAGGGTTTAAAGTTTCTGAATTGATTTTATTTGGGGGCTTATGAAATTACACAAGGCCATTCATGGCTGAGGACTCGATTCCACTCAGTTTACCTAGATTGTGCCAAAGTCGGCTTTCAAAACACAGCACTCCACACCCACAGAAACCACACACTCTCACACACAAACACACACAGGTGTGTGCAGACATGTGTAGAGACACACACACATACATGCTCACACACACATACACATGTACATGCACACAGCATGCACACACATACATGCAAAGAATGAATCACATATACTTATTAGCCATATTTACTATAGTTGATACTGAAGAAAATATTTTGAGCTCCAGCACTGTTTTTTTTTATTTAATTTTTTTTACTAGCATGCAGAGAAAAAGTGTGACATTTCTATGTACACAAGTTTTTATCTATTGTTGCTAATTCTTCAAACCCCAGTGCCCTTCCTGGGCCCTCTTACTTCCCTTTCCTAAGTCACCTTACTTCCCCAGAGTTTCCCTTTTCAAATGTGTATGCCTTTCTGTCACACTCCCAGTTGCTGAGTTGTGGGTGGAAACTGAAGATTTTCAGGTTCACATAAGTTACTTAAATTCTGATTTGTAAAAGTCCACCTTTGTCATTTGTTTTAGGTGGAAGCAGCACGGGAGGGAGAACCAGGGGAGAAGAGGGAGGA